CTTCCACCGAAATTGAGACGGCTGAAGTAGACTGGTTCCTTCCTCGAGTCGCGTCAGTACCGCTTGTTTCCGTCAGATTGAGTTTCTTCTCATCCGAAAAGACGACCTGAATAGGAATTATTCAGCTCCATGGTGAGATCTTGAAGCAGATCTACCTTTGCCCAATCTCTCCCTAGGTTCATCTTTGCAAATCCGAGTCGAGCCTCTCTGTGGCGATCGGTGATTCGTGGCACCTTCTCCACTGCTTGCCTGGTGATGTTCTCGCATCTTCTCACTGCTCTCCAGAATGTAGTTTTCGACACAGAGAGGTTTAATTCCGATCGGATCTAGTTCACGGAGGACGTACTGTTGGAAACAGTTCTCAGAATCTTCCGCTCGTCACGGGCAGTTATCTTTCATGGGTGTCCACAGTCGTTGTTATATCTAGGGACATCAGGCTCTCCAGAAATCTCCGAATGGACCAAGGGGATCTCTCTATTTGCCTGGAAATGGCTCGAGTAAAGAGCCCACCTTCATGATGAGCCTTCTCATCAGAGGAAAGCAGATAACCACGAGCCATGTTGACAGTCAGGTTTAGGAATGCCTTTGCTACACATGCTTACCTTTACAAGTATCTTCAAACACGAAATTTCCTCTATTTCGTTGATAATTGTTCACTTTCTCGGGGTGACCTTATAATTGTGGAACGGTGCAAAACCGATAAACTGTTCTAAAAAAGTTCAGAAGAATGCAGCAGCGGCTAGGAAACGGAGACCTAGGTTATTCATGCTGGGGAATCTGTTCATGATGCTAGAAAAAATCCTTAATGATTACTTTTTTTGAAAGTGCAAAAATTGAGGATAACCTTATAATTATGAAACGCACTGTATTCGCAGGCGTCCCTCAACAGGATTTGCAGATTACTAGAGAAAGGATAGATTTGCGATAGCCTGGTTTCTGGAGAGGGTCAAGCACAATCGATTACATCCACATCGTTATGAAACTCACTGAAGTATCGCAAAAATACAAAATGCCGTTATGTCTAACGTTCATCGATTTCAAAAAAAGCCTTTGATACCGTCGAGACAGAAGCGGTGATCAAAGCCCTGGCTCCTACTCAATATATAAAGATGCTCCGTGAGCTCTACAACAATTTCACGGCCAGGATCTCGCCATTCTATAAAGAGAGCCACCATCAACGTAAAGAGAGGTGTTTGACAGGGCGATAACATCTCTCCCAAATATTTCCGTGCTGCTCTTGAGAACATCATGCGTCATATGGAAATGGAAAGCATAGGGGTGAAAGGCGACGGCCGGTACTTACAACATCTCCGCTTTACACATGTCATCGAGCGTATAACACTGAACATCAGTGTTATACGCTCGAACAGCGGGCGGAACAAGTGCGGGCCAAGTTCGACAACGCTTGTGGAAAAATCGGATTACGACTAAACCNAAAGGAGACGATGTCAGTACTAAACGGATTGGTACCTGAGCTCCTTACACGCTGAACGGAACGAACATCTCTGAATGCTTTAGCTGAGTGTATCTAGGCCAACAAGTCGATAAGGTGACTACCTAACGCCGGAGCTGAGCAGAAGGAAAGTACGACGTGGGAAACGGTAAGATTATCGAGGTAGTATGAAGAAGTCAAAAAGCATCAGACTCTGCGCTCACCTCCTCGACACTGCGATCCTTGCTGTTTTGACATACGCCTCAGAGATTTGGACTAAGCGAAAGCATTATGAGAAGAAGTTGACGAAATTCAAGCGCTGTGGAAAACAACGACGGCAACGTGACTACTGAATTGTTTTGACCACTCCGTAAAATGAAAACGGCATGGACGATATTGCCCTGCTGTTCTGATGTTCTCGAGTCTAGCGAAGGCTAAGTCAGATTAGCACTATACGAACTAAGCAGGAATTCTCGTTTGCGTAGTGTAGAATTGCAATGAATGAATGCCTCAGAACCCGTGAAAAATCATAAAACGGAAAGCTCTATGATTTATAGAAACAATCGTGCCCATAGAGGGTTTTTTGAGAAGTGTAGCAGATCTTGAAGTGAGTTTCGAAAGAAAACAGCAAGCAACGTATCTATAAAAAAGGGCTGTCAAGAATGCAAAAAAGCAGTGTTGTACTTACTTTCTATAGCATCTATGGACAGGAAGCCTATCAACAACTATAACAGGCAGAACCGTTCAGGGTCCAACGATTCAGTATTATTGCATTTTTGGATCCTATATTGGGTGCTCGCTTTTCTTGATGGCGGCTTTCATCACTATTTACGATCTATTTGACGAAATTGCGGAATTCCGTGAGCGTGTCGAAAAGGATCTCGCTGATTTCACGGTAACGTTCGCTTCAAAATACCCGTTTTCTTTCCTTTTCACCAGAAGTATTGCATACTTTCCAATATTAATCACATTTCAGAAGTACACGGACGAGGTATGGAGAACGATGGCGTTGCAACCCAAAATGACGGAAAGATATATATTTGATGCAATAATTCGAGTAAAACAACGTAATGTTTGTGGATTGTAGGAGCAGCTTCTTGTGTCAAATGTGTCAAGCTGGAGAGAAGCAAACATGAGAGTCTCTGTGACTCCTCTTTCATTCCATTACTGTAAACAAGGAAGCTGTACTTGAAATTCAAACACAAGAGAACAGTCACAAACTTATGAAATAGCTAGTTTCAACGTATGGATGTCCAACTCGAACTCGTCAGAAAACTAATTATACAAAAACGTAACAAAAGAAAAGGTGGCACTTTAGCCCAATTGCTAGGAGGCAGGTCGATCGGCCGACTAGTGCCGGGCTCCTTCTTGTGACAAACTTGCTATGCCCGATAGATCAGAGTTGAAAGTTTCCCACTCATCTCGCCCCTGTGGGCGGAGACTAGTCCTGCAACCCATCATCAGTATTCCCATCCTGTCGCCTTTACTCCTACCGAATTGGAAGCTATATGTTCGAGGGACATGATTTTCCCGTCAAGCGTTTATTTTGCGAAAGTTCCACGCTGGGAACGGGACTTGCGCGAAATAAACGCTTGAGAGTCTTGCTTTCAACGGTTCCAAACTGGGATTGCGAATTCGACAGTTCCTCTTCTAATTAGGTGCCATACAGAGGAGCTAGAAGGTTCACCATAATTGTGAGAACTGGCTATTTCAGGAAGCGGAAGTCAGCTCCTTGCTTTAATATCTCTTATCAGTATGCTTTCTTACTACTGGTCTTTGTCAATTTCACGCCTGTACCGACTAAACCAAAAGAGTCTTTCATTATGCCGCGACTCCCTCGAAAGCATCATTCTGCTGTCCTTATAAAAACTTTCTCGTGAGTGATTGCACCATTGATGTTTCTATCTACAACGCCATCACCTTATTTGTTCAGAGTTGCTTGTGTCGTGAATGATTTTTTTTGTTAAAGAAAGTGATGAACATATGCGTGTCCTTCTTAAGTGAGTCAGCGACCTTCTGCATTTTTTGACCCCACACTGTCTGTTGAGATCGGAAAAGAAGAGACATTTCTGCGCGCCATATGTACGACAATGAAACTTCTGCTTGACAATCCACGAGAGTAGGAGGTATGAATTGCCGGTCAAACACACACACCGACCCACACACCGACAAACCAACAGACACAATTAGCGAAATATATAGTAGGATAATGTTTGCAATATGTTGATAACGAGAAGTAACAACGATTATCGAGGCATGGTAAGAACCATTCATAGTAACTTGAACATTTCTTGCGAAAGGACGTCAGTATGGTGAGTTGGTCGAGTGCACATTGTTTGGTCATCACTAATTGCCAATTGCAATGTACATACCGAACTTCGGTGAGAATGTGGTTGGGGAGGGAGGGGGAAGTGAGGGGGCACACGTAAGAGTGTTAGCATATTAAGGAACCAGCCTCACTTCTTACTTTTAGTGCAAAGAAGGAGAGAAGGAGAGGTAGCCGACCTCTCCTTCTTAGAACTTAGAACGTTTCTAAACGGTAGAATATCGTTTCAACCTTTAACGCTGTTCAGTTAATGCAGCTTACAGATGCCTGTTAAGTTCACATTGAGATGGTTGCGGTGTCTCATGAGGGGAGAAGAGCCGGGGGGGGGGTATGAAATGGTTACCTCGTGCAAGAAGCTAGATAGGTATGAGTTCAATATTTAAACGACTCATCCACCCAGGCTTAGGTCAGAAAACTGTTTATTCTCGGCTAAGAATTGTTCCTGAGCACGAATATGGGCTGACACTCTTATCTGCGTTGAAGTGCAAGGTGTTGAAAAGAAAGCGGAAGTCTCCCAACTACATTAACACCTACGATTTTTGAATAGATATACAAGCACGATGCCAGTACAGATGGAAGTCTCAGTTCTGAAGTACCCACCCAATTCCTCATTTCTCACTTCACTTCGCATTGCTCATCCACTCCATTAGCCTACCCACCAATTTACTAATTATATAAAAGTGAATGCTGTGCTCGCCATATCACTACCTTTCATAAAGTTCATAATCATAAAGTTTGCGGACGGACGAACCGGCATACTCAGGCACCGGCCACCCCCTCTGTGCACTCTTATGCTGTTCCGGCCAGCGTGGATAAGAATTTTAACTAAGCTCTAAGAGGGTAGGAGCACCGGGGTGTGTGAGGTGACTACCTCGAGCGAAAAGCTGAAATCTCGCCCACACTGGTGCTCTTTCCCTTCTAAGGTTTTCGCTTTTCGCTCGATGTAGTCATCTCACGCAGCCCGGTGCTCCTACCCTCCTAGAGCTCAGTCAAAATCTCTATCCACGCTGGCTAAAACAGCATGAGAATGCACAGAGGGTGTGGCCGGTGCCTTACCCTCTTCAAGTTCTAGCATCAAGGAAGAAAAGAAAAGTCTCAAATTAGAGTGTTAGTAGCAAATTCAAAAAGAATGACTACATTTTTTGCATCTAACAAGTTCTAAATGTTGAATGTTGTAAGTTGTAAGTCAGCAACAAGTTATAACTCCCTAAAATGAATACTCAAATCAGGGTTCCAAATATCTGAATAGTCTTACTAAAGTGTGGCTTCGATAAAAGAAATGGTGCTTTCTGCTCTAAATATATGAAAAATAATTTCAGGAGAGTTTTTTCGATGAAATTGATGACCTCCTGAATGATGGACGCTGTCTGGAAGCCTACCACCTTCTGGAATCGGTAAACATTTCTAGTAAAGTCGAAATATCCGCACACCTACGTAAGGATTCAAAAATCGAACGAAAAGTGCAAATCGATTATCTGTTCTATATTCTAGTTACAACTCAGTCCGAAGGCTAGTTTATTTGAATTGGATACACGACCGAAGATACTATTTGATCCTTCCAGTCGTAACTTTTGTCGAGAGTTCTGATCTTCGTTATCTTGGCGTATAGAACAGCGTTCCTAGTATTCGCCCGCTGAGCTCGGAATTGTCGATTCCAGTCTGCAAGGATTGTATCCAAAAACTCAAGCGTTGGCTGGTTGCATGCCCATCCTTTTAAACTAGCCCAAGTCTCTTAGGCATAGTATTTCAAGGAGTAGAAATCGCATCGTCCAAAGGGTGACACAGGAAGACAGTGACAGTTCGTTAAGCATCGAGGAAACACCAGAAGACACCCTATTTCTCATGAACATCATCTTGATAGGTGCAGTCGCCAGTCGAGCGACTTCCATAAACGGTGCAAATTCGGTCAATTTGGTTGTGTGAATGTCGGCACTCGACCTTCACTTTCATTTAAAGCAATGCTTGATGTTCTCAGAAAAGGCACTGAAGAAAACAGTTGGTGGGATGTCGCCTTTTCGGACATCAGCGACCTCTTCAAACGACGATTACTTCCTTGTAGAAGTGTGAGGTTCTGGCTGTAAGATTTTTGTAGAGCGTGTGCATTGAGGAACACCCTAGTCGTCAAGAGCTTCGATATCTGATGTTGTTCGAGGATTTTCATTGGTCCCTCATCGACGAATCGCCTACCATTTGCGGTACCATTTTAAAATGCTCCTTATATTGAACCAGCTGTGTCCAGAGTCTTCGTAATCTGCTCTAGATAATGAAGGAAAGTCAGCAATCGGACAGAAGATTATTCATAGGCTAAAGCTGGAAAACACAAGCAGCCACTTTTGCGGGGACTCATAAAAACGCCGAATAACGCCGTTGCTGTTGCTCCTCTGCGTAAAGGGAGTAACGGTGAGCATTTAGTGTTTCTGCTCTTGAGAAGAACAGAGACAAGAGCGAATGGTCATGGAGACGACAGAGCGTGTTATGAGAGCACTCGTTAGGGGATCGATAAGGCTGGGCGAATGGGAAAAAAGACATCATGATTTTGAAATAAGGTGCAAAACGTTAAGTGTTATGAACAGGAGGTCGGCTTGAGGACTTTGCTTTATCTTCGTTAGATCCATATCTTTCTTGCTCTGATTTGATCATTCCTTCAGAGTTCTTCGTCCTCCACAGACAGAATGGGATGGTTATGTCGCGCCGCAACGGCTTGCTATAATAAAGGCTGCGCTGAAGGCGATGAAAGCCGACTACAATGGCTCCAAAAAGGTGCTTTCTGTACTCCTGCCGAAATTCCATCGGACATTTATCTCCTTTTAAGGTTAAGCAAGCCAAACAGCTTAGAAACACGTTTTTTGCAGCCCACGACTACGCTTTAGAAGCGCACGAAAAAGAGCCAACAGATGTTGACGTGCTTTCTTTGCTTTGTTCAGCTACTGGCAAATTGGCTGAGGATAGCTCGATGATGGAAAAAGTGAAATTCGGATTCGAGTTTCAGGTATTCTTCTTTTCCTGAAAATGGAGTTCAATAGCAGCGTAAGCAATAATGTCGTGTGGATAGAAACTATGGGAAGCAGATGTCAGCTGTGTTTCGGTGAAGTACAAATTATACGAGTTCGTAGAAAGACCGTGAGATGAGCCCACCTCGTCTTAGGCATAGTAGCTTGTGCGCGCCACGGTCCGTGCATCTACTTTGGGACAAACGTTTAATTATTACTGAGAAGGCTATAGCGAGTAGGTTTCATGAATATAAAAATAAGAACGCAACCGAACAGATACAATCTTTTTGTGACACGACGATAAAAGTGATATGTAAGTATATAAATACATAATAGGCACTAGCGAATACTAAGACATATGAAGTGAACGGCAGGGATGTAAGCAAACCTTGTTTCTGACGTCGTCCCGAGAAGCGATAAAGGTTCAGAGGAGATCGTCTCCGATTAGTGCTTTGTGTAGACTCCTCGATATCTTTCGTTCTGCTCGTTCCGCCCTGAAACAGTAAGCTGTAACATGGTCATCATCTGGTCGCCACCTCCTTGCATGGAGTGGCTTACAGTATTTGCTGCCAATATCATCCGCTGGAAGAAAACACCTCGAATATTTGACTACAATGGATCGTAATATGCTGATGTTGCTTCGAATGCACATCAAGCATCATCAGTGATATCACACACCTCCCACTTTTGCTGAACAGGGAAGGTCTTCCAAAACAATTTGTTACCAAAAATGCTAGCACGACGCAGCACTATGCATTTGTATCGAGTAATTGCATTAGCTTACACGAGACCCATCTTCCTTGTAAGTTTCCATCACCTGAAGGCATAGTTATGATAGCACCGAAATGTCAGCCCGATAAGTGTTGTTACAGTCTCGGTTGCACAGCTTGAAAAGTAAACCTTGAAACTGAAAAGAATTACGCCGAGACTCTTAAACAGTCGCACTTGGACACAGTGATGATAATGCTGGAGTATCTGGAAGAGTAATGGAAGCGATAGTTTAGAATAGTGCGAAGGCTGCGAAAAACATTCCAAAAAAACGAAACAGTACGTACGAGAGTGTGACGAAAACGTTGCAGGGAGGCGCTGAGTGAAGTTGTCAAATGTGTATTCCATTGCGTATGTAGTGCGCATTGGATACAATAAGCCTCCTCCGTGCAACGTGTGTCAATGGTACAACCTCTAAGGCCTTTACAGCACCGTGAGAACGCGTTCACCTTTGGGTGTGTACGTCGGCTAAGAGGGTTATGAGCCCCTTTTACGCCCCATCTAGGCCATTTCCTCACCGCGTCAATTGTGCTATCATTGGGAGCCACAGATTCATCACAGAGAGCAATCCCGAAACCATTTTTATCTTGAGCTATGATTCAAATACCTCGCTCATCGAGAGCATTGCTTTTGAACCAATAGCTGGATCACGTGCACTAATGGGATTAAAGGTAGTGAATAGCGCACATGATACAATCCATCACGGCCAGCAAAGTGTCTTCCACCTTTCGTATTTTGACTCGCCCAAGTTTGTAGGGTTTGTACATACATCTGCACACTGCGCTCGCTCACGTATTATCATTTCCAATACACATCCTTCTTTTTCCATAAAGACGTGGTCTACATTGGCTGAAACTGCGACTAGTGGCATCACGTGGAACCGAGATTCACTGAACTAGCCAACCCCCGAGATGCACCACGGACATTCGTACTGTGAAATAAAATCCAGCCCGGGACCGTTCCTACCGCATTTCGCACTCGAGCCTTGATCAGCGTTTGTGAAGGTGTCTGCTGTAACATTCCAGATGCCGATTGCCTTATCGTGTGGCATTGAGGTACTCCGGAGCGCGCTTTGCATTAAAGCGTAGTTAGATGCAGTGGAATGCTTAACAGCGCTAGTTAGAATAATGTTGAAATATCATGGCTGATCGGTTTCTTCGAAGCCTATGTTTCTTTCAGCAATACCTTGACAAGGCTGTCGCCCTAAGTGCGGATTCCTACGAGTTTCTGCACATGAGAGGACGGTTTGAGTATCAGGTAATGAAGTTTAGCCTTCTGAATAAAAAAAATACTCGTCAGATAACAAAATTTATAAGGCACTATAGAAAAGTAACAGTTAATGTGGTTCAGATGACTGAGCATAATAAACGGAGCTATTCGAACAGCCTTTTGCAAGCAAAGACTTCCCAGTGTGGGGACAAACGAGGCACAGTAAATCAAGAAAGTTCTCTAAACAGGGAAGATCCCAAGTCGAAGTGGCAATTTGAAACGGAATTTGTACTGCCAGACGTGTTCTCGTATGCTGATCTTAAATCTGTCCAAATCCGTTCCAAATTTGCCGAACGATTCTCTGAGATGAGTTATGAAGGGGATCTCAGTTTGACACTGAACACAGCACAAAAAACGTAGGGCTGTCGGTTTGACTGCAGAGACAGTGAAGCGGCGTGAGAGTGACGCCTCATGTGCGAGAGACCAAGTTCGGGTTCTGTTGAGGACGGATTTTCGCACTCTACAAGACTTTTTTTTGAAACTTTAAGAATGAGATGGCCTGAGAATTCGCTTTTATGCTGAGTTGATCGCAATACGACCTTTGATGCTTTAATTTATTCTCCTCTTACCCTAACCGTGCAAAAACGCTTCAATTATTTTTGCATGTTTACGCTATATTCCATGTTCCCAGTAGAATGGCTCTTACCGCTTCATAAACATATGCGATATTCTGTCACAAATTGTTCAAAGCAGAGAAGTATTCCACAGTAAGAACAACGAATAAAAAAGAATTTGTCTTATCTTGTTGCTCCACAATTACTAAGCGGACTATAGAGAAAACGGAGTTGGAAAGCATCCATATGAGAGCAGTCGTCGCAATGCCATGAGAAAGAGAGTGTTTTCTCGAAAAATGAATCAAAAGTAGATGAATGTTTGGGAGCGAAGAATGGAGCCACGAATGTCTGCATAAAACTCAAGGTTGTGAGCTACTACGTATGAGTGATGCGTTCAATCATATTCTTTAGTTTTGAAAAGATCTAAACACCCTGTGGCTGTACTAGCCTTTCACTAGCATGGATGTCTTCACATTCAGTTACTTTTTTGACGGTGAAAGCGCTAGGAAGTTCAATGTCTTCCAAAGGATACTAACGAGTCCACCAGCAGCATTGGTATTGGTAAGTTCGGAACGCTACTCGCGATCGCAGTCTTGTTCGTTGATCATCTGCGTTCTACGCGCTCGTATTTCTATTTTACTTTTACTTTCGTCGGTGCCTTCTTCAAAGTTTTCACTCATGGTAAAAGTCGGATCACTCTGAGTCTGAGCATCAAAAAATCCGTAGAGTGTGACAGAACTATTGCAAAAGGAATTCCTAGACCACAACGATAGTACGTAGAATGAAAAATTCATTTATTTCGTAGCTCGAACGTGGTCTGCAGCACATGGGTGTACTTGGTTATTACGTTCAGAACCGTTCTGCAAATTCGGGAAGTAGATTTGAGATCACATGCACATCGCTGTTGAGTCTTCATAATGTTAAAGCATAATGAATGATGCGTGAGATTTTGGAGCAAAAATATTATATAAAGAGGTGAAAGGGGAAACACCCATGTTTCACCTTGCGTTTCAAATACATCACAGAAAGCGGGATGGATTTGCGTATTCTGATTGGCTCGACTCTCACATGGAAATATAGCACAAAGTGCGCCAATGATAACCCTTGTTCAGGTTTCGACGCTAGGTATCGCTGAGAGAACCCTAGCGAGAGCACTTGGAAGTCTCCCTAATTGTAGCCTTGAAAGTGCACTGCAAGATCTTCTTGCGGTGGGTTTGAAATTTTCATCTCTCTATGAATCTTTGATGAGTAGTATTACACTACTACGGTTCCAAAATGCAGGCAAAAAAGTAGACAAAGCGGTTAAGCTGAAGTAAGATCTGTTTCCACGAATTAGTCAGTACAGGGAATGAGTTGAGATTACGATCTGAATTTTCTAACCGTGAATCAATTTGCGTCTTCTATTTTCCATGACACCGTTCCCGATCGAATTTTGAGTAATTTTGAACAAAGATCTCCCGTGAACGACCTTGTTGATAGATATGTGTTAATTTATCTGTCAAAAATCTCGATTTTGTATTGGCTTATGTGCACTG